TGAGAGAGAATGATTTTTTTTTCTAAAAAAAGGATATATAGAATTAATTGAAAAAGAGAGATAAAATAGGAAGAAAATTGAGACATATTTGCTAATATTTATAAAGTATGAATATTTTTACTAAATATGTTATTTATTTTGACTAATTTACTAATTTTTCCAATAAAAAAAAGCAATATTTCTCATTATTTATCCAAACTCAAGAGAGGCCCATTTTTATTTTAATAAAAAAAAACCTTTTGTAATTTTTTGCACCGGCGATGAAGTCTGTATCCTCTCTACCGGCGATGATGTCCGCCGCAGCAACTCCTCCGCTGACGAATTTCACGGCCACGACTGCTTCACGGCCTGCGGTCCCCTCGATCCAGTGTAAGTTAAAAAATTCGCTTAATTTTTTATTAAAAAATCCATGTTAGGTTTTACCTTGATAAGCTCTAAAACACTTTATTAATTCCTTATTATTAATTGTGATTTTATTGTCTACTTTGCTGCTATTTTTTAATGATACTTCAAAGTTCAAATAATCTTGCTTGCTCAATAATTAATGAAATTTGCTATAGTATTAGTTATAATTGAGAAATTGTGTCGTTGTGGTAATGTTGTTAAGGTAAGTATTGAGATTTTAGTGGAATATTGGGGGAAGAAGTCGAGTGAACTGTTACAGAATCATCAGTTTATGGGAAAAAGGATCGAGAACATTTGTATAGGGTAAAGAGTATTAACAACATTAAATTATTGAGGGAACGTCGAATGCCCCTTTTATGGTTCTGATGGTTATTACCTTGTTATTTCGATGTGGAGATCAGGCGGTTGAGCATATGATAGTAGTTGCAGGTCAATACCACCATTGTAGTGTCAAGCAGGATTTTTTTGTACTGTTCACTTCGTTTTGTAATTAACTCAATCACACAATATTGTGTATGTTCTCATTAGAAAGTTCTGAAAAACGTACAAAATTCAATTTTTTTTTTGATGTGGTCCACTAATTTAGTTTACTTGCATGTTGATTCTTCACTTTGAGTCATACAAATATTGTTCATTGGACCTGTTCATTGGGAAAAAAAGTTTATAAATTCTAAGTAGGGGTGATTTATAATTAAAAGCTGATGCTTAGTTACTCTGTTCTATGAATTGGTCTTGCCAACTTAATTGTCTTGTCTATCAAATTTCTATTCCATGTTCCACAATATAAATATGATGATGTTCTATTAACTATTAACTTTATTATTCAGCAATTGCAAGTTTTAGGTTAAATATTAGGTGAAGGTTTGCATGAATCATGATGTTTGAGAACTTTTGGTATTAGCTTTAGAGTTTGTTTGGTTGACTTTTCATTTTTGGCTTATTATCCAAAAACTATAGAACTTATTATTTTTGTCTTATTTTTAGCGTTTTAGTTTAGAACTAAGTGCTTATAAGCACTTTTTTAACTTATCCAAACACTCCAAAAGTCAGTCCAAATACTTTTGAAGTGTTTTAAGCTAATTAGTGGACTTTTTGAAGTGTTTTTAAGTTAAAATAGCTTAAACACACTTCAAAAAGTCAAACCAAATGGGCTCTAGTCTTTTTTAAGGTTTCACTTAGTTGCAAGGATATTTTCTCCCAAACCATAGACCCTGCCCTCAGTCCCTTCTCCACTTCTTTTCATTATTCATAATCTCCAAGTATCCTAACTCTACCCACAACCACATACTCAACATCAACACATAGAAGTCACACAAGCTGGAGGGTACAAACTTCCTTTTTAGCACATGCAAACGCAAGTCAGCTGTGTGCCTGTCATAATGCTTGCAATGACTATTTTATGTAATAATCTTTGTTTGCAGTCGTGAAAAGATAGCTCTGACTTGTAGCCAATATTCTTTCAAAATGCTTCATGATTAAAGTAGAACAAGTTTACAATTTGACTACTAAGATAATGGAAACACCAAGTATTTACAAGTATGTTAAATTAATTTCATAAAGTTGGAAATTAAGTGAACTTTGAATCTTGAAAGTAACCTGTCATTGAGGTCGCTTTTTAGGTCTACTGTTTTTTTAGCAGTGATAATTAATGAACCGTAGCTCCACCAGACTCACAGCTAAACTTTTATCTGATTCGAAAACTATCATTTGATTTTTTTCCTGGGATAAGCCTGGTTGTAGGTGAATAAGTTTTTTTTGAAAATGCACAGTTTCTGTTGGGATACTCCTGTATAAGATCGTTGTGTCAAATATTGTTGTTGCGGAGTTGTTTTGTCTGTTCTTTCAAAATGGACTGCTTCAATGGGTATACATAATTGTTTCAATTCCTTTTGGCAGGTAACTTGCTGTTCTATGATAGACATCACGTTTACTCTCATAAAAAGTATTCCAAAAATGGAATTACCATTAAGTATACAGATCTCCCCAAGCACATCAGACCAGAAAAGGGATATTCTTCATCAAGTGTTCGAGGCACCATTTATTGTTCAAATCATAAGGAAAGAAATGTTGGCTTGCCTTCTGATCATATCGCAGTTGGTGCAAAAGTGATTTATGCTGCTGCTCCTGCAATGGGTCATAATCAGGTAAAGTAAATCTACTTACCATATGCATTGTCAAGCTAGCTTTGTGATTCCAGGGAATCATTTACTTCATTCTTCTCCTAGAGCTGTTGTGGAACCAACTCATGCGGAACAACTTTTATATCTCTTTTTTTTATGCCCACCATGAGAGTTAAACTAAAGCTATATATGGTGCTACGGTTTTGATCAAGTGTTTGCCTTGTATAACCATTTATGTCTTGAGGAGGAATCAACCCAAACTCTTATATCAGAGTTGCAACTAGAAAATTTCTCTTCTTTTACAGCCCAAAGTTTTTTTGTTTTTTTTTGGTAGAAGAATCTCCTCAAGGGGTTCGAATTGTTTCAAGTGTCTTGATCAATTTAAATGGCAGTGAAATCTGAAACATAGAACTGTTATGTGTCATAAACCTCAAAATATGCCGTCATCAAGTTCATTACAACCTCTATGAACTTCCTATCAAGTTTTGGCTGCCCAAAAGGGGAAGCAATATTTTTTTTTCCGCCCATTTAATTGCGAAGATTAGCAGATTACTGCCTTTGGGGTTATTCTTTCTCTATACTCTCCTATGTCTTTTTCCCACAGTTATCTTATTGGTTTCCTTACTGAGATATATTTTGAGAATTAGGTAGATAATGTTAATATATGTTCCCTAAGAAAAAGTTGTGCTTATTCTGTTCTATGTAGTTGCACGTCATTCTGTCGCCTGCATGTGCAAAAAGTAGATATTAATTCCAAGGTTCACTTATCTGCAATTGAACAAAGTTCTTGTAGGGAATGCCTAGATTTTTGCTCTTTGCAAGGTGCCAAATATGCCCTATCAGATGTCTAGAACTCATGTATGCCAGAGTTCTGAATCTCGATTCCAGTGACTGTTTAGTTAAATGTCCTACAATAGGATCCTTGTCTTTCCAGGAATAATTCCTCCTTCAACATGAAACCTATTTAAATTTAGGGCATGTGTCACTTTTCGACTGGTTGGAGATCGACAGGTTTTTATTATAATTTGTCTATTCTTTTCCCTTTCAAAATACATCGTAGACATCTAAATCTTATTGGATCAGTCCATACAATACTTATGCAAAATCCTAAATTCAAGACACATTGGATCAAGTCAACATTTTCGGTCAATAAGTTCCAAATTGATCATTTAATTCAAAATTACACGACTTAAGTGAAAGCCAATGTCATGACCCAAATTCAAAGGACCGTGACCACCACTTAGTGAGCATCTACCCACCAAGCAAACCAACTCTTTTAATTATCATTAGGTAAGCAGTCAGAGGAGATGTTCCATTGTTCAAAGAATCTAACTTCAAGAATTTTAGTTTCAGGAACTCTGTCTCTCATGTCCCATTACGCACTGTGATTTGCTTGACTAAGTTTTCTTTCCCTGAATATGGGTGAATTAGGTGTTAAATTTAATTTAGTTTTTCTATTTATCTTGAGACTAGAGTACCTTTATTTGTATTGCTGAGCAGCTATGCATGGCCAAATAGTTAATGTTAACATAACAAGACTGGAATGTAGAAGTTGAAAGCTTCATAGTTTTATCTTCTGTTTTAGAGATGACAAAATACTCTCCAATTTCCTTACCCTTTTTTTTTCCAATTCTATTGGACGCCCCTGTAGGAACTCTTACCTTTATTGCTTGATGTTCCTCTAACAGTAGTTTTGCAGCTTTTCTGAGGCATTCTCTCTTTTCCTAGCATGTCTGTTGTGTGGTTACATTGGACTAATAAATTGTGCCATTGCCATTTCTTGTTCTGTGAGATGCTTCCTGAATCATATGAATATATTGGCTTTGATTCTATTTAAGTGTGACAGTTTGTTGCTTAATAATTTTGTTTAGACTAGATTTCACTTGCAAAATATCTTTGGGGAGAAATGCGCCATTCTATTTTGAACTTTTCACTCCTATGACCTTGCCCCTTAATTTTTCTTGCTAAGTAGTTGATATAGCTTTGAGTTTTCAGGTTCCTACAGTGCAAGGATCCCTAATCAAAGTACTTAGTTGGATTTCATAGAACAACTCCTTTTATTTTTACTGATTTTTGTTAATATTCTGTTGCATGATTTCTTTAGGGTAAGAATTGCGTAAACTTCACCATCCTAACATTTAGCTTAAATCTTTTGTTGATTCTCTTTACTAGGTCTTTGTTTTTGGGAATATCTATTTCTTGGAATTCAGTCACTAAAAATTTTCAGGAATCACATCCAGAATGCAACTCTAGAGTTCCTGCAATTTTGACAGCTCTGGAAAAGATGAATTTGACTTCAAAGGTATGCCACAAACACAACACAATTATTTGTCAGTGCTGATTCTTGTGTTTATTGTTTTCACCGGTGATGATAAAAGACAAACACATTGGATATCTCTTGATGAGGAAAATAAATTTGGGATAAAATGTGAGATAATTTTATAAAAATTACGCTAGGTAAAGGAAAAATGAGGTCTCCCAAAATCATGCCAATTAATTAGCATAATATGTTCGCTGAGGCCCTATGTAAGCACATATGCTATTTGTTTTCTGACGCTACATGAAACAAACTCAAGCTGCGATTAGTAACTCTCTCTTTGACGAAGTGCCAATCAATTTCATTTTATTTTGTTCAGTCATGTTGAACATGATTCTGAGGCTCTAAGCTATATTGATTGCAACTTTATTGTGGAAGCTAGTAAAAAGCATTGACTCGCTTCATCTATCCATCTGTGTACGGGTTGAAGCTAGTAGGAAAGTGCAATCCCGTAAAGTGAGGGTTTCAATCACTAATTATATGCCTCGCCAACCCCAAATACTTAAACTCGTTCTTAAGAATAGCTTGACAGCTTCCTCGGCAATGCAAAGCTCAGTGAGCCATGCATGAAGATAGGCATACATCGAAAATCTATCCACGACCACCATAATAGTGCATAATCTCCGAACTTCGGCTAACATGTGATAAATTCTTAGCCTTGCTCTACCATGGATCTCCATAACTGGCAATAGTTCCCAAGTCCTCCAAGTTGTTGCTGCTCAACATCCTGTTGACATAAAAGCCAAACTTGCATGTAACACTCAATGTCATCCAGTATGCACACCGATAGTTAATTGACTAAACCAAGCCTCTTGCCAGGATCACTATCCCAAATGGTGTCATTACTCTCCTGCATGATGTGTCACCTAATGACACTCCCATTCTAGTTATATAGCTAAACCTTGTGTGAGCTACCTCCGATTCTTAAGTGTTAGCAATATACAGGAAGAATTTTATAGGAGCTACCATCCTACGCTAGAGTGAAGCAGTTTCCACTAGGAACTTAGAGATATTATAAAGTCAGATCTGGTGAATTTTCCTTTGTCATAGAACCTTGAACACTATGGTGATCATAGTAGGCAAGAGAATTCCTAGTAGAACTCTACCACTTTTTTGGGCGGGGGAGGGGGGGGATTTGGTTCTGATTAAAACGTCCTAAACCTTCATGAGCACTAGCAAGATGCATATAGAGATTTTATAAAACACCTATACAACTAATCAAGCTATCTTGTGTTCCAGTTTCGAGGCTCAGATGTTGTTGAAGTGCAGAATTTCAGACCAGCTACAACAGATGACATAGAAAGTGTTCATGTTGGGCCCTATGTTTCAGGGCTTGAGAAGGTAGCATAGCCATAAGGTTTGGTAATTCTTCTTGTTAATGTTGTTGTACGATAATTCAAAACTTTTGTGGTGGTGTGTTTGATTGATGGAAGTCACTTTTCAGTAAAATATTCCATGACAACAACATTTTGGTTTCTAGAAAATGTTATCCATCAAAATGAGAAAAATGACTTTCCTCATATATCCATGCAAGTCATTTCCGAACTTCTATTTTACTTCTTACTTCATATCTTTTATTGGAGACTATGAAATAAATTTTTAGCTTTATGTTATTTATTTCAAGTAACACCTTTGCATTATTGATATTTAGTAGTAAATTTTTTAACTAGCGCATTACCTGGTTTGGGAAGATTATTATTAATCCTTTGATGGATCTATGTTTTTCTGAAACTATTTTCCACTCACCCAGAAAACATTTTCTTGAAAAATAGTTACCATGGAAAATGACTTCCATCATACAAACAAACTTTGAATTCGATCTAAAAAGTTACATTTCCTTAATATTTTCAATCCATGTGATCATGGATACGGGTTTATATTTTGGTTCGTAGATAGAGATGATCTCATGCTTGGCATTCCTCTCTTTTTTTTTCAATTTTGGGGTTTTTCTTAAAAGTCATCTATTATTTTGATGTTACATGGAGATTTGGGTTTGAAAAGTCGATATTGGTATGTATTCTACATGGCCGTTTTTCACTTTTAGTGGGATTTATTCTATCTTAAAGTAGTATGTGAAGCACCCATACCCATGTCATTGCCATTCACTTAGAGTGCACCATTAATGTGAAGACTCCATATAGTATAAAATAATGTTTTTATTTGTAACGTCTACATGCGTAGTTTTGTCATATACTGTAAAGAGGTTAGCATAAGGACTTCTTACTTTGTTTTTGGAATTTAATCTTTAAAAAAGTTGTAACAGGTGGAGAAATGTTGGGTTCCCTATTTTTGCTCAGGCCTGCATGGATTTCAAGAGACTAGGTCCATCAAGACAACTCTCTTTCATTTATTTTAGGTTTACCTCGTTCTTTGTTGACACTTTCACATGCTACGGTTTCACATTCATAAATTGACTTAGGACATGGCTAAACCATCGCAAATGTCATATCTCTCATTTTATCCTCAATATGTGCTTTATCTAAATAGTCTTAGTTGTAAAAGATTTAGTAACAATACTTTTTATATAATTTTAATTTTAGGAAAATAAAGAAATTGATAATTTGTGATAGGAAATTGAATGGTTGTACTCTGATATTCCTAACTTGTCCATTCCTTCTGAAACTGAGGGAATGTTTTCCACATTATTTTTACTTTGCATAATTGTTGTCATCATCCTTAGTATTGTTACTGTTCCTATTGTTCTTTGTTATTTGTGATGTCATTGTAAAAATTGTTATTGTTTATTTATTATAGTAGTAGTATCATCATCACCATCTTTGTCATCGCCGTTGTCACCATTAATTTTTCTCATCCTATGTTCTCTTGATTTGTTGACTATCATTTGCAGGCTATGGATCAAGCTTTAGAGAAAGGTCTAATTTTCATTGATGGATCTGGACCCACATATGCTACTGCCACAGTAAGAATATATCTCTTACGGTAACTCTTCCTCTTTCTGATGCTAGTCTCTACCATATTTAACTTTATGATGTTAACACACATGCGTCACATTACACTTATTTTAGGTTAATTTTTCCCTTCTCCAAACTATTTTTGGTGTTTTCTGCTGGGTGTTCGTCAGCCATTGTAACGACCCATTAGGTCGTTTTGGGTACTTTAACTTCTTATTTCATAGAAGACTTTTCCGATAAATTCTAAATAGGTATTTTGGACTATTTGTAACTATAGTTATATAACTAATGAGTTAATTTTAATAATTAATTTAGTCGGTGGTTAAAGAAAAATAACATTAAAATTAGTAGGGAGTCATTTTTATCACTTTTATAATTGGTCATGTATAATAATTTGGGCAAATAAATCATCTGTAAAAGAAAGAAGAGAGAAAACTAGGCGAGAAACTTTACCTGCAGCGTCTAACAAGGAAGACAGACATCGAGCTAATGTTTTGAATCTTCAATGTCCTGATTTAATGGTAGGAGGTTAAGTATTATACAATAATATTTCATGGTTAGATATGAATTGAAATTGGGTGTTAGCGGATGCGATGAGAGTTTGGACTTCGATAAGAAAGTGAGGGCGATAATGAATTGGTTGATGAATTAATGATTAGTCAATCTGACGGATGATATGATATATTAGGCTTATAGTATAATGATAAATTTGGGTTAAAGTTGTTGCCACTAGTTTTTGAAGCCAATGACTTTAATCTTGAATTTTATTACGTTGTCATCATATTATAAATTGAGTTTTAATATATTGAGATGTGTAATTAAATATTAGGTGTATTGTATATTTGGAATATCATTAAAATGATGATAATTAGAGCAATCGAGACTTATCCTTGGGCGTGAACTTTAGAAAAGTGACTATAGATTTGGGTGAGTTTTTGGGTCTAGGCTAGACATATAGTAGTATCGGTGTCTATAAACTAATTTACTTATGAATTATGCATGTTTAATAGATTGGAAACGTACAGAGGCATTGAGGAAAGGAAAAACATTGGAAAATTAGTTTTGCTCGACTTCGATTCCTCTGTGGATGTAGGTTATGGATTATTTTATGCGATAGATAGACTCTTAATAGTGACTGATAATCATTGGTGATATTGTGAATTTCCCTATGTACTTGGTTGTAAGGTTTGGATAATCTATGTGTTTGTGATTGGTCTGAAATCTTGTCACTGTCAAATTTATAATCTTGAACCTTCTCTATTGAAGTGATGCCTTAAATAAAGAAGATTTGATGAAATATTGTTCATGAAGTGAAAAGTGGTGATAAACTAATGATATATTTGGATCGGATTCCACGAGTACGATGTTATTGGATCGGGTGTCACGTTCAACACGGAAACATTAAAGGAAGACATATATAAGTACGTGCCGCTTGGATATTATATATGTTTTCCTTTAATATTGCCGGAACGTGATACCCGATCCAATAACATCGTGCCGACTCATGGCACTCTGTCCAAATATATCGTTAATTTATCATTTATTATCACCGCTTTTACTTAATTAATAATATTTTACCAAGCCTTCTTTATTCAAGACATCACTTCGATAGAGAAAGTTCATGATTATAAAGTTCACGGTCTAAGGATTTCAAACCAATCACAAACAACACATAGATTATCCAAACCAGATAACCAAGTACATGAAGAAATTCACAATATCACTCAATAACTTCAATCACTATTAAAAGTCTATCTATGACATAGAATAAACCTTAACCCACCTCCACCAAGGATTGAAGTCGAGGAAGCTAGTTTTCCAAAGTTTTTCCTTTCCTCAATGTCTCCGAACGTTTCCAATCTATTAAACATTCATAAGTAAATGAGTCTATAGACATCCATATTACTATATGTCTAGCCTAGACCCAATAACTCTCCCAAATCTAGTTATTTTCCTAAAGTTCAAGCCTAAGGGTAAGTTTCAGTTGCTCTAATTATCATCACTTTAATGATATTCAAATTATTTAATACACCTAATATTTAATTAGATATCTCAATATATTAAAACTCAATTTAAATATGATGACAACGTAATAAGATTAAAGCCACTGACTTCGAAAACTAGTGACAACAACTCTAACCCAAATTTATCATATCATCAGTCAATGATTGACTAATCATTAATCCATCAACTAATTCATTTTCACTCTCGCCTAGTTTTCTTCCGTCTTTCTTTTATAGATTATTTCTTTACCCTAATTATTATACATGACCAATTATAAAAGTTGTAAAAATGGCTTATTACTAATTTTAATATTATTTTCTTCAACCCTCAACTAATTTAATTATTAAAACTATCTCATTAATTATATAACTATAATTACAAATAGTCCAAAATACCCATTTAGAATTTATTGGAAGAGTCTTGTGAAATAAGAAGCTATAATACTCAAAACAACCTAATGGGTCATTACATTAAATACCAATTTACCCATTGTTCGTCCTCGAACGATCAAAACAAGGTGATGGTAAGAAAATGTACCTAAATCGACAATAAGATGTGATTTACCTTTCTTGCATATTAGCATCTACTCTCCTAAGTAGACTCTTCAACATATGATTCTTCCACTGAACCTTGATAGATGCAATCTCCTTTGACCTTAACTTTCAGACGTCCCTATCTAGAATAGCTCAGACTGTCCACCGGTCTGAGGGTAAAATGCAGTACTTAGATCCAATCTAGTTCCTAATTCAGCCTGCAAGGTCCTCTTAAAGTTAGAAGTAAATTGTGTACCACTATCTGATATGATGGAAATCAGAACTCCATGCAATTGAACAGTCTCACGGATATAGAGTTTGGCTTAACTTCTCTGCATTATAAGTCACCTTGACCGGAATGAAGTGAGTAGACTTAGTTAATCTGGCAACAATTACCCAGATAGAATCAAACTTAACAATGTCTTTGGAAGACCAACCACGATATTCATTGCAATTCTTTCCTACTTCCATTCAAGAATGGACATTCTCTGAAGTGTACCTGTAGGCCTCTGATGCTCGTACTTTACCTGGTGACAATTTGGGCATTAGGCAACCGAATCAACAATGTAAGCTTCATTCTACTCCACTCAATAATGTTGTTCCAGATCACGATGCATCTTGGTTGCACCAGGATGTATAGAATACCTCGAACGATGAGTCTCTATAAGGATAGTATGAGTCAAATCATCAACACGATGCACACATACCCGCCCCTTAATTCTCAAGACGCCTTCCTCATCAATAACAACCTCTTTAGACTCTTCTTGCAATACCATGTCTCGAATTCGGTTCAGCTTCTCGTCATCAAACTACTTTCCTTTAAGCTTGTCAAGAAAAGATCTTGCCTCCACACAAGCCAAGAATCCTCATTTCTGAATTACTTCCAGTCTCATAAAGTCATTAGCTAGAGTTTGAAGCTCTCTAGCCTATGGGTGTTTAGAAACCTGTAAGTGGCTAAACTCCCCATGTTCCCTGCTTTTCTACTTAGGGCATCAACCGTGATATTAGTTTTCTTGGGTAATACAGAATAGTAGTGTCATATTCTTTAAGTAACTCCATCCACCTTTTTTGCCTCAAATTCAAGTCCTTCTGAGTGAACACATTGTAAATTATGATGATTTGTATACATTTCACACTTGACCCAGGTAGATAATGCCTCCGCTGCTTCAATGCACAACTGTAGCCAACTTCAAATCATGGGTCGGGTAGTTACGTTCGTGCACTTTCAGTTGTCTTGAAGCATAGGCAATTACATTGCTCTCCTACATTAGCACTGCACCTAAACCAGAATAAGATGATCACAATAAATAATGAAATTCTTACCTTCCACAGGCAAGGCAAGAATTGGTTCAGTAGTCAACAAGGTCTTGAGTCGCATGAAGCTCTTTTCACACTCATCCGACCATACAAAGGGAACATTCTGCTTGATCAAGTTGGTCAGTTGGGAAGCAATGGAAGAAAATTCCTTAATGAATCCACGGTTGTAGCTGCTAAACCATCAAAACTCCTTATCTCTAAAACATTAGTAGGCCTTACCTAACTCTTCACTACTTTGATTTTAGTGGGATCCACCATCACTCAAAACCACGTGCCCCGAGAAAGGACATTGAATCGAGCCAAAACTCACACTTGGAGAATTTAGGGATAAAGCATTTTCTCCATTAACAACCCCAATATAATTCTCAAATGCTCTTCATGTTCTTTCTTGCTCTTGGAGTAGATCAGTATGTCATCAATAATACATTAACGAAGAGATCCAAATATGGCTTAAAAATTCTATTCATCTGGCTCATGAAAGCAACACAGACATTCGTAAGCCCTAAAGACATTACTAAGAACTCATAATGTTCATACCTTGTTCGAAAAACAGTCTTTGGCACATTCATCGCTCGTATTTTAGATGATGAAAATCGTATCTCAAATCAATTTTTGAGAACGCACAAGCACCCTGAACTAATCAAACAAGTCATTAATGCGAGGAATGGGGTACTTGTTCTTAATAGTTACCTTATTCAACTACCTATAGTCTATGCATATTCGAAATGTCACGACCCAAAACCGAGCCGCGACTGGCACCCACATTTACCCTCCTATGTGAGCGAACCAACCAATCTAAACCTTATCATTTCAACGTATATCAACAGAAAATAATGCGGAAGACTTAAGCTCGTTAAATAAAAACCAATTCAATAACTATTATTCCCC